ATTCTAAACTAAACCATAAATAAAATAAAAGAGATACTACAAAATAAACAGATTGGAAAGTTAATGAAGCGTCTTTGACAAGTTTTTAAAAATTGAAAGAGTAACCTTGTTAAATGTAAGATTTATGCATGTTTGTTTTTGTTTTGGAAAATTAACATAATTTGTGGTTGTTAAACAACTTGAGTGTTTTTTTTCTATCTTCTGATTTATGACAAACACAAAACATACAGAAGATACCACTGATGACTTTGCGTAATGTTTCCACAGTTCAGAACTAACTGGACTGTTCTGGTTTATTTGAGGTTAATTTCAGAGTCTAAATGGAAAACGTCCTTTTTGCTCCAGATGTTGAGGACTGGATTACGCAGTGCAGAGCTGCGCTTCAGTTCAAAGCTGCATCCTGCTGACTGCGGGACCTTTAGGAGCTCTTTAGGGTCAGCGTCACAGAGGTGAAGCAGATAAAGTATCTTGTGCAAAGGCAGCAACAAAATGACAGCGACTGAGTGTCACGGTTAAAGTTCGCTGCTGATTGTGTCGTACGGCTGCAGGAGTCGAACAGGACGTCCCGATGCGTCGGCTTCATTTCACTGTTCGTCTCCTGGTTCCCTTTAAAACAGCTAAACATGAGGCGCTGCTTGTTTTGAATTTCTGCATATCGTTAGCCAAACGTCCGGTAGTGTCTCACAGTGTCCCGACGCTGCTCGATAATCCAGGTGGATGAATCTGACTAGGTTGAGTCTGGATCTTCTTGTTGAAATGTTTTGTCTTTTATCCAAAAACCTTGTTCAGTCCGAGGAGCTGCAACAAACTTATGAGCAGCACGTTCTCATAGTGGATCGACCAGTTTGCTGCCGACAGCCAGAACTAGCTGTTCACATACAAAAGGAGGATCATCAATAACAATCGATCGTTAGTGTCTTGATGGCCGAAGTCGAATAATCACTGCACAAACTTTAATAGTGGCTTCACTTAAAATGATCATCAATAGATTTTAGACGTGAACATGTTTTCTGTCAGAGGAGAGCTCTTGAGTTCAGGTCAAATTACAGCTCTGGAGCTCTTGAGATGGGCTGGAGACAACAGTGACAAGATAAGTCACACAAACTGTTTAACATGTTCAAAACTAAAGCAAAATTCAAGCAAGGAAATTAAAAATCCAGCAAATAATGTGAGGCATTTGGCAGAATTTATTTCTATCTTCATTTAACCAGGTAAATCTCTTGCAAGGGAGTCCTGAACCTGAAGGCAGCCTAACCTGCATGTTTTGTTGTTGTTGTTGTTGTTGTTGTTTTGGACTCTGGGAGGAAACTGGAATGCTTAGAGAAAACCCACACAAGCACGAGAACATGCAAACTCCACAGAGAGGCTCCAGGTTCAAACTGGGGATGGAACCCAGGACCTTCTTGCTGTGAGGCACAGGTGCCAACCACTGATACACCATGCTGCCAAATTATTAATTTATTATTAATGGTTTTAAAAATATTTTGCAAATGCTGTTTACCAACAAGTCACAGCCCAGTGAGCCAATACAATATGTGAAAAACATTCAACCTTTATTTATTCAGGTTAATCCCATTGAGCCTCGAGGACTCATTTACAAGACAGACCTGATTTCAACAAAGAATGATGACAACAATGGACAGTTGTAAAAGAGGCATACAGATTTTTTTTATTTTTACAAATTAAAATAAGATGGTTAAAAAAAGTAACAAAACAGCTAGATTCTAAGGTGAATGTAGAAAACTAAAAACAGGAACATGTCTGCATTGGTCCCAGGAGTCCAACAGATTCTTAAAGACACTTAGAGAGGTCAAGGTCGAGAGCTTCAGATCTTTTTGTAAGATATTCCAAGAAACAGGAGCGGAGTAGGAGAAGGCCCTTTTGTCTAGTTCAGTCCTCATTGAGGGAACACTGCAGGTAATAATGTCCTGAGAGCACACGCTGTAACTGCACTCATGCAGAGGCATGTAGGAGGAGACGTATGAAGGCAGCAGACCAAGAAG